GTCAGTCTATGTGAGTCAGTTCGTTTATCAGACTTCCGCTGCATACATGCTCATCCTACATTGGTTGATCTTTGGTTCTGCCCATACTCATCGAAGTATGCAACAGTTTTGGTATCGGAGCAGACCAAAAYGGATCTGCTCACCAGGTAAGTCCGTTTAGAATTAGGTTATCATGTTTGATCTTCTAAATCGGCGCTGAAGTATTATCAAGTTCAAAGTTGCAAATTTTCTTTTTTCCGGTATTCTGGCTATTTCAGCATTTCCGTTTCAATTCAGTATTCGGACTTTTATTTGGATTTCTGTTGTACACGGTATGCTGTTTAATTAGATCTGAGAGATTGATACTAATCCAACTTTCTGTTTGATTCGGATTTTCGGCATTCTGTTGTAAATCCTATATTTCGTTTTCTTTTGAGATTTCCGTTGTCTTTCAGTATGGGAATTAGGGTTATGAAAATCTTTTGGTCTTAGATCAACTTGGGGAAACTCGAACGTTTTGGGACCGTAAAACCGGAAATTTTGCCGAAACGCGGAAATTAGGGTTGGGACCGAAATTTTCGCGAAAATTTTCGTTCTCCTTGTTTGAGAAATTCCGAAAATAGGTTTAGGCTTTTAAAAATCGGATTTTGACGGTGGAAATGCCCGAAAATTCGCGTTTTTGAAAATTCGAGCGTTTTTTCTGAAATTTTCAGAATTTTTTTTTTAGCACACTGAGCCGTATCTGACCCTCAAACTGCAACTTCCGGGTAGTTCACTCAGTAACGGTGAACTCGCGGACTCATAGTAATCTCGAAAGAGACCTAGTCATATTACCATTCAAATTCGTTTGATGATTTCAGTGATTAATTATCTCATATTTTTTCATTAGTTAAATTTATTGATTAAATCGTTAATTATTTTCTTACGAATTTTCTGAATTGGTTCCGGGAATTTATTTTCGGGTTTTGATTAGGGGTCTATAGTCCAACAAGTGGGACAGGGGATTGTAGSKRTATTGCTTGATTGTTCTACCCCTGTTCCCACTCTCCCTACCCCCCGTGTTCTGTGATTACCGGGACTTCTCAAGTACCGCATCGGTTCAGACTGATGTCGACGAAACAGGACACCGGGGCACTGCCACGACGCAGTGCCAGAATCGCAGTTCGTGCCCGCCCTGCAGTACCTCCAAGACCGAAGAAACTCAGCAGGCGGACGACTCCAGCAGCATCAAGTACGGCATTGACAGTACAAGACGCCACCGGAGATCATCCCGCATACCCAGTCCGAGGAGCCAATGAGCCAGCGGCTGATTATCGTGGGCGGCTACTGGCATTTACGGAAGCCGTAGCTGCCGTCGAGGCCTGGAAGGAGACAGCAGAGGCAGAACGTCAGCGGCTAGCCAATGAAGCGGCAGCCGAAGCTCAGCGAACGACTGGGACTGACGCAGAGACACGAGACAGACGGAATGCCAGCAGCACGGAGTCCTTGATTGCTTGTGAGCATCAGTGGACGACGATACTCCAAGGCATGATCTTTGTGCCTACGGAAGCGCAGGCAGACCCGACACCGGCGGAGGCAGAGAGAAGTAACCTGGCTAACTTGCTGCTAGGCATGATGAGAGGTATTATGTGGAATAATACACTGCTGCATTCACATCTGCGCACGGACGCGACGCAGCGACAAACATACAAGAACGATATCACTGCGTTAACAACTGCTATCCGCACAGAGGCAACGCAACAGCAGCAACAACATCATCTGTTGAATTCCACTATCACACGCGTCAACAGCATAGAGGCTAACGCCTCAGCAGCGCCAGGCTGCACGACAGACGTGACGAAGCAACTCAACGAGCGCATCGATCACGTCGTCACCATCATCGGCGACATAAGTACTTTCAACGGACCAGACTCGATCAGCAACACGGTGGCCGCCATCAATATGGACATCACCAAGCTACAGACGAGACCGGAAGCCGCTACAAAGACGTTCAAGATGCCGCACTTCGACATCAGCAAGTTCGATGATTACAACAA